AGAGGTCCCCATGTTGGAGTAGAAGCTATCTGGAGGTTTGTGCACCTTTCAAAGATCAAATCAAATGCAAATAGAGGCAATTCTGGGCATAGTAATGGATTTTTGAGCGAGGCGATCGAGCATGCATCCTTCATTGTTCAAGGCAGAGCTGTGGCAGCCTAGTTCACATACCTCGCATGCTTAGTTAGTTACCATGATTAGTTAATTTGTTAATTAATTAAAGTATTGTAATAATTAGTTGTAGCTAGCTATTCAATTTGTGTTGTGTAATAATTAGTCTAATTAGATTATTAGATTAGTTAAGTAGCTTAGCTTAGTGTAGCTAGCTCAGTATATTCTTTCGGACCCTCCGTCGAGAGGGCACAAATGTTGTAATAAGTGTGTGTGTGTGTGTGTGTGTGTGTGTGTGTGTGTGTGTGTGTGTGAATATCTTCCAACCCCACGTCTTTCTCCCTTTTACTTAACTGCTTTCGATGGTTAGTGTTAGGGCATGTTTCAATTAGAATACTTATGTTTGCATGCGTGCATCATTCATTTTGTCTTGCACGCATCGGGCTCGGCGCATCATACAAACTGCATTGTACTTTAATACACTTTCTTGAATACGTGTTTCAAAGCATGTTATCAAGTATTGCATTCATATGACATTCTAGATAGCTGAGCCTATTTTAGTTGCATTTTTGCATGTGTTGCATTAGGCATTGTTGACATAGCTAGGATCATGCATTGATTACTAACTAGCTTCTTTTTTTGGCTTGGAGTACTCGGTGAGTGTTTATGCTTTAGCATCCTTGCATGTGTGTAAGTGATTTCCATGATAGCATGCTTACCATGAGGCTATGTGCTTATGTGTTTAAATGCATGAATGCCTGTGGATGAAGGCTTCATTGCTTGAATTTGAACAATTCATCAAAATGTGCGTTTTAAGCCTATTTGAGAGTGGCAAATCATGTTTTCTAAGCTCACTTGAGGGTGGTAAATCCGTGTTTTAGCCTACTTGCGAGTAGCCACTTCAAACCATTTTTAAAAATAAACATGAGATGTTTTGTTCCAAATTGAGTGATTTAGTCTATACTTGTGTGTTGTGCGCATCACATAGTAAGTTAGCTAATAATCAGAACAAGAACACGTGTTTTCAAAAACAACATATCATGTTAGTAGAGGCCGATCCTTTGATCAGGCGAGCGGGGGTGCTCATTTTAGGACCTTCCCCTCTCGTACCCAAGTTCCCGAGCCGAGGCAACTTTGGTGATGACGGACACGTGGCCTTTGGCATGAATCAAGGTTTTCTAAATTTCCCCAAAACAAAATATTTAGGTGGCGACTCTGAAATCTGCCAAAGCAGTCTATGTTTGGCACTTTTTGATTAAAATCGATTTTCCAAAACGATTTGCCGGATTTGGACTCATTGGTGATTTATCAGTCTTACATTGCACTTTGTGAGATTAGATTCAGAACCATGACAGGATTCTGAACTGTAGTAGCTAAGAACTACAATTCGCGCCCTCGTGCGCGGAGCAGAGTTCGGGCTGTCTATAGATGTCTAGTCGTGCCACAGTTAGAGCATTTACCTTTAAAATTTTTATTGTTATTGTTGTCGCCTGGTTTAGGATAATCTCCAGCAAACTTCCACTTTTTGTTATGTGGTTTGGGCACATATTCGACCATATTAGCCTTGGACTCAATGGGATTTTTACCATTCCTCTTTTCAGCCTTAGGTTTATCTTTCTCAATTCTCAATCTTACAATAAGTTTATCCATGGTCATCTCTTTGCGATTATGTTTTAAATAATTTTATAAATCTTTCCAAGCCGGTGATAATTTTCCACTAAGCCAGTGACTTGAAAAAACTTGCTAAGAGACATACCTTTAGCATGAATATCATGCAAAATTAATTGAAAACTTTGAACTTGAGAAATTACCGTTTGGAAGTCTACCATAACAAAGTCCAGAAATTTACCAATAACAAATTTCTTTATGCCGGCATCCTCTGTCTTGTATTTTTTTCCCAAAGAATCCCACAATTCTTTTGTTGTTTTCAGAGGACTGTAAACATAATACAGCATGCTGTCAAAGCTATTGAGGATGTAGTTTCTGCATAGAAAATTAGAATGCTTCCAGGCATCTACAGCGGCAACAACTTGCCGATAACCTTCATCTTCCTTAAGTACTGGAGTCTCTTCAAGAACAAACCGGGCAAGATTAAGAGTTGTAAAATAGAAAAGTATTTTTTGCTGCCATCTCTTAAACTTTGTACCGTTAAATTTTTTCGGTTTTTCTCCATGATTTATTAGAACTTGATCATGGTTCTAGATATGAACCGAAGTTGTTGTAACAATTGGAGTACCACTTTCAATTGCAGTTTCAATTGCAATAGCCATAATATTTGATTACAAAAATCAGAAAAAACCAAAACACAAATTAATTTTCTAGTTACTAAAACCAGAAAATAAATTTATAACACAAAATAATTTTACTTCTCTAATTAAAATTTACTAAAACCAGAAAAATAAAATACTACACAATAATTTTCTGTAACACTACATAAGTTAATATTCTAAAATTGCTAATGGTAAATAATATATTACTACTATTTATCAAACAGTATATGACTACTATTTGTATTTTCTAATCCAGAATATCACTTTGTAAAAGTACGGAAAATAAATATAAGGAAGACAAAAAATAGTCTGTCTTAAGATTGTTTGACAATCTTCACAATATTTGAAAAATTAAAGAAAGAAGAGAAACTGCTTGATTACACAAATCAAAACAGTATATAAAAAATTAAAATAAAATAACAGATTCTTACTTTGTTACAAAAACAAAATTAGAATCTGATAAAAAAAAATAAAACAGAAAGTAAATTAATTACTTACATTAATTGTTTGTCCGACAAATTTTTTATCAACTTCAGTGTTTAACACAATGTCCTTAAGATAGATTCGTCCTCTCCACGGTGCTTTCAAATTGCAGATGTCTTTCTCCCAGGATAAAATGATCAACAGTGAATAGTAGCAGCACTACAAACTATTTATATAGCAAACACACTTTGTGGTTATACACTTTCTTACAAAAAAATTAATGCAGCAAAATGTAAAAAGTAATGACAGAGACAGGGACAAATTTTTTGAATGCAAAATCCAAATGAGGCTCTATCTATTTATAGGAGAAATTGTGGCTGTTCAGATTTAAATCCCACATGTATGGTACCTGTTCGGACAGTGTTGAAAAGATAGAAAATCTGTTCGGTTTTGAACTCAACAGGTATGAACCTGTTTAATTTGAAATTAAAGAAAAGATCTAGGTTTGAACTTGAACCTGTTCGGACAGGTATGAATCTGTACAAAAGGTTTGAAGAGCTGCAAGCAATATTTGAATTTTTCCAACTAAAATTTGAAATTACAGGAATGAATCTATACAGAAGGTTTGAAAAGGTGCAAGCAATATTTGAATTTTTCCAACTAAAATTTGAAATTAAAACTGGACATTTTATTTTACCAAAAAATAAAAACAAATTCAAATATTTTTGGCCCAAAAAGATAAGTATTACGCTGGACAATCCCAACCCAACCTCACACAACGAACCCGCATCCAAGCCCAGCCTAACCCGCCCGCCCAACCGGACGAATGGACGGCGACGATGCGCATGTGTTTATTTTGGGTCCAATAGGTGTAGCCCACTTTGCCCATAACCTCTCCCTCTACAAAACTTGAGTGCCCCTAGGGGCCTACCCCAATTTCCAAATCCAAGCCTTATAAACCCACAAAAATTTGCCCACCAAATCAATGTGGGACAAGCTTTAACTCAAACCTTAATGGAAATTTCACCAAAATGCCATTTCCATTGAGATTACTTTGGCTTCAATTTCCCATCACAACATAGCATAAAACGTGTTACCACTTAGACTCGCCAACTTTGGCGCATGGGTCTCACCGAAAAATTAGACCAAAGTTTAGAAAAAATTTGTTTTTTTTCCAAAACCATTTCTAACACATTTTGACATCCTCTCTATCCATGTTACTTCTTTCCCGATGTACTTCCATGGCTTTGACCCCTTAAATTTTTGGAAATTAAAGTGAAAGAAAGTTAACAAGGTTCTAATTCTAATTAGCAAGACAAAAAAACAACTTTGTGGATGAAGTTCAAGAAGATTAACGAATTTGCTAGATTAGTTGGAAATACTTACAACTACACAATAGTGCACTACTTTAACTTTTTGAAACTCAACAATCTCCGAATGATACCATAAAATTGGAAGAACTAGGTTGTCTACCACAAGAATGGGTTTGAACATGTGTTTAAAGAAGATGTTTAAGAAATCCTGTAACTTACACCCAAAAACAAAAAATTATACAAAAGATGGATCTAATATTAGTACATTTTGTTAAAAAATGTACGGTCACTACTACAAATACAAATAAAGATCACACTTTTTTTGTTTGATGTATGTTTTTTAATCACACCTTTTATTAAAGTGTGATTTTTGGGAGTGTGATTAAAAATGGTCATTTTTAATCACACTTTTTAAGTGCCATTAAAAAATAATTTCATCATACCTTTTAAGTGTGATTAATAATATTTAGATCACATCTTTTAAGTGTGAATAAAAACATTTAGATCACATCTTTTAAGTGTGATTAATAACATTTAGATCACATTTTTTAAGTGTGATAAAAAATATTTAGATCACATCTTTTAAGTGTGATTAATAACTAATAAAACCTGTGATTAAAAAAAAAAAGAATTCGACATATTTGAAGAATAATCAATATTATTTTTGTACGCGCATTTGAAGAATGTAATACACACTATATACTATATTTTGAATCACAATCATATATTGAATGGAATAATGTCATATATTTCATAAATGAAAGTTAAATGTTCAAAAGTATATACAAAAGAATTAATAAAAAGTTTTTAACAGTGATTACATATATTAAAAAATGAAAAAAAAAACTTGAAAAAACTAAGTTCTTGAATTCTTTGACCATATTTTGCATCTCTCCAAAAAATTTCTGACTTGAAAAATAAAAACACAAATTAATTCAAAAACCACTTGAAACATATGAATAAACTTACTATTTTTTGTAGAGACTGTTCTTGTCTTAAAAAAGATAAAATCAGACATTTTCTCATCACACTGACTCTTCATCCCCTACATCAATAGAAAAGGAATAACGACTTTGATTGTTACTAGTATAAAATGTTGGTATTACCATATATAAATATGACATATACATAGAATCAATAAATCCAAAATGAAAATCTTCAATGTATGACTAGATATTTTAAAGTCATAAAACTAAATATATATATATATAGAATCAATAAATCCAAAATTATAAACCAAACATAACAAATCCATGGCCAAGTGGTTCATTCCATATATCCTTAGAATTTGCAAATGCCCTATCAGCCTTTGATTGCCAAACATACCTGAAAGACAACAAATTAGATGCATCCACAGTTACATTTGTTAAATTTTCGACTGTAAGAACAACTACCCATGTTCACTAGAAAAAGGATATGAATTCAGAGGCATACTGTTTATCTTCATTATGTTTGCTGATGACTATAACATAGTCAGCAACAAGATAAACAGAGTAGAACCCAACACCAAACTGCCCAATGAGATTAAGGTCTCCACTTGTCTGCATTTTCTCCTCAAACGCTGTATAATAGAATAAATTCAATTACAGACCATTAATTATTAACTCCCCCCAAGGAAGAAGTTCACATTGTACCAGTAAAACACTTACCCTTATTGATAAAATAAAATACCTAAAGTTCCAAATTTAGCTATTGTTTCCAAGTTCTTGATCAAATCCTCCTTTGTCTTACCTATACCTCTATCACGAATGGATAGGATCTTCTTTCCTCTGTTTAATTTAATATCCATTTATCATATTATAAGCTTAAAGAATAAGTCACTTTATAAATCTTCTTTCTTTGTTTAATTTAATCTGCATCTATCACATTATAAGCTTAAAAAATTCTTCAACCACACTCAGCCTTATTGATAAAATAAAATACCTGAAGTTCCAGATTTAGCTATTGTTTCCAGTCTTTGAAGATACAAGAATTTATTGTCTCATAAAATGCCTAACAAAAACCTAACAAGCACAGAATGCATCGATGTCTCACAAAACCTCGGCTCCCAATATTGAAATTGGGCACTTAACGTTGGTAAGAACAAGCTATCAGTCACACACACACACACACACACACACACACACACACATACATGTTATGAGATTGAGAAGTGTGAAATTTACCTTTGATTTCATCTTTTGTGATACGACCGGGATGCAAAACCACTGCAGTCTGAATTTCATCGGTCCTTGCTAGTTTTACAACTACCACCCCTGAGTCAAACGTAAAAAATAACCCATAATCTTAGCAGCCAAGTCCATGACTCGTCGGTGAAGAGCAGCCCAATTCAAATATGTCAAGTTTCATAGCTTATTTCATGTAAAAAGCAATATAAATATCTGACCACCCCAGCAAAAACTTGTAGCCCCTATTGAAGTGACTCCTTTGCTTCGTAAAGCAGAAATTACTGGCTTGGCATCTTCAAACCCTTTGTCTTGGAATGCAGAAAGTTCACATTAACATAGCTAATTGAATTGTTGAAGAAAAAATTCTTTCTTTCCAAACCACTTGTGTTCTAATAGGATCAATATGCTTCTCATAGCATTTTAGTGATGAATCTATCCACCTAAAGTTGATCCTTACTGTTTTATTTTTTTCTTTACTTTACTTTTTTTTAATTTTATTTTAATCATGTCAAAAAAATTTGGTTTTAGTCTTATCTCAACAGGACAACCCTGAAAATTTTAAAAATTATACATGATGACAATTTGGAACCTTTTGATGTTGAAATAGAGAAAAACTGTTTGCTATCACTTCTTTAATATTTGAAACTAGCATGCCAATTTTGATGACCGACTTTTAGATAAAGGGTAGTGAAACTAGAAACTAACCATGCCATGAGCCTTTCTCTATGATTCCCAGTCCATATTAGGGTTATTAAGATCGAAAGGTTCACCATAGAAGAAATCAGGAACCACTACTAGAAATCCCTCGGCTGCCACTTTGTCTGCAAGTTTCCTTTAAAATGATAAAATGCAAAATGTTACTTCAACTAAATTACAAGAGATAATGATGCAATTAGTGAAGCTCTTTGGAAATATATTTCTTTGTGTTGGTCGAAGTTAATGACACTAAAATAGGGCAGTTACAAGATACAACAGAACAAAGTAGGCCAACCTTGTACAATTGCTGCACCTGGGTTATCAGCATTCCTTGAGTGATATTGTTTGGCATATAAATGAACAGTCTTAGCTGTGAGTAAATTATGAATTAGTAATATCAGTTATAGAGAGTAGGATTTTTGTTGTATTTGATCTTTTGGGGCAAGGTTGAAACATGTTATTGCTCTTCAATTTAATTAAAATTGTTTCACACAAGATAACATACAAGATTGGAGTTTCCAGAGACCAAGGAAAAACAAATAACTAGGCAACCAATCTATGCGAGAACTCTGATAGATGCACTACTATTAATTGAAGATTGATCATGGTCCCTCATTTCTAAAATTCAAATTTGTTTTTTCAATTGAATGATAGAGAGAGAACACTCATTTGACAACAGATAATAGTAACAATTCAGCATACCTCAGATTTGAAGCTTCATACCCTGCAAAACATTTTAAGAAAGCAAAACAACTGAAGCTTAGTTTGTGAAAGAATATTGAGAACTCAAAACATATATCATAATGTAAACTTTTAAATTTTCATCAGAATCATCTTCTGCATTTGCATGTAACTTCCTACCTGGAGATGCAAAGACCAGAATAAGGTTGATTCACAGAACAATATGCATATTGTTTGGAACCATTACCATTATGTGTCCTAATGCCACGATTTAAAACCTTAGTGATTAATGATTTTAAAAACATGAAAACCTTAAGTTCATCATGCTCTTGTACTTCTAAGTTCTCACTAGACTAGAAAATAGTGAGTTAAATGCTTCTAATTTAACATAATACAATAAGAAGGAAAATTCATATTCCAACTCTAGTTTTTCACATAGAACCAATAACAAGTTATACCTGGCATTTTATCTCTATTAGAACCTTCAAGGACTTCCATGTAGTGAACAAATTAGGGAACAACTATATCGAGCTTTCCGTCACTACGATATAAAATATGAATACAACATAAAACATGTTATCCACCACAAACATTAAAATCATTAGGCAAAAAATAAAGCATGTTCCCTACAAATCCTTGATATCAAAGAATAATAGTTACTAGATATTTTATTTCATTTTTGAAGTTTCTATACATTGAAGGTTTCTCTGCTGAATGCACTCATTTCGGAGGGTATTTAATTGTGAAGCTTGGGAAAACTTTGTGTTGTCAATTAAAAAGGGCAGCCCAGTGCAAGAGGCTGCCACCTTTGCAGGATTTGGGAAAGGGGTCAAATGCACCATGTGCAGAGAGGCTCTTTCTACGTTTCAAACCGACAATTTTGTTTTGTCATTAAGCTACAGAAAAAAATAAGGGATATTTACCAATAAATCCTATCTCACAAACAGTTTTACCGATTGGTCCTAAAGTTATTTCTATTGTTCTGATTAGTCCTATTAGTGGGGAAATATCTTACCAGTTGATCCTATTTCCTTTGTTTGGTAACACTGAGTGGTCAATTACACCCTTCCGTGTGTGTGTCACGTGACATACATCATTCCAAGGAAAAAAGCATAAAGAGCCTTAGTGTACTTTGTTGATGTGTGGCACCCATTGTGTGTGTCACGTGACATACATCATTCCAAAGCAAAAAGCATAAAGAGCCTTAGTTTGTTGATATGTGACACCCAATGTGTGTGCCACGTGACACTCCAAGGCAAAAAGCATAAAGAGCCTTAGTGTACTTTGTTGATGTGTGACACCCACTATGTGTGTCACGTGACATATTGTGTGTGTCGCATGACACACCCTCATAAAAAGTCTTGGTGTACTTTGTTGATGTGTGGCACCCATTGTGTGTGTCACGTGACATATTGTGTGTGTCACGTGACACACCATCATAAAGAGCATGCATCTAATAACATCTAAATGAGGGCATTAAGGTCCTTCAAAGTATCCAAGGACTAAACGGTTTATTAGAAAAAACTCGGGACCAATTGGTTCATAAGTTTAACATTTGGCATTTATTGGTAAATCTCCCCAAAAAATAATCTGTTTATTTTTTTCTTGGGTTAAAGTTTAATTTTAAAAAATTGCTCTATATTAATTCCAGTGGGTAACATCAAAATTTGGCTTCCTTTCCTAGAGTGTTTTCAAGAAAATTTTGAGCAATACTCTTAAAACAAAGCGAAGAGAAAAACGATTAGTTAAAATGCAATATGTCACAAGAATTAAAAACCAAAATTGGTGGCATAAAATACTTGAAAGGGTAAACACTAAACAAGTATATTCACAAAACAATGCCTTAAAAGATGCGAGCTAAAAAAATAAAATAAAATAGGCACTAACTCATGCTAATTCAACATAATGTGGTAATTATACGTATCATACTGACTGCACCAGAAACATGATTCTGCATTTTCACCTGAGTATCACCCAGATGATCTGGTAAAAAGCATCCTGACCATTGCCATCCAGGTTCGTTGAAATGAATTGCAACTAGTAATTCCCTATGACCTGTTAAACCACAAGAAACCAAGTAAGAAAAATAATAGAAAAGAAAACATTATTATAAGAAAAGGCTTCCATATCTCTGTAAATTTTAAAGAAAAAAGAACTTTGCTAAAGATAAACATTTTTCATCCACCTAGTTTAGAGCTGAAAGAAGTGACAATATGAACATTTATGATATAGTCAGCCAAGCAGACAAAGTTGAATTTGACCATGAAATTTCATCTTCAGACCTTCCTTACTGACTCTGTTTTACAACCACCACATGCTTACGAAGTGGTTTTTAGGTTTGGAGCTTAAGCATTTTCCCAACAATCCCCACCCATTTATTAATGCAAAGCTTTAAAAAAAGAAAGAAGAGAGAACTTGAAAAAAGAGAATGTATCAAGTGGTTACAAATACACAGGCTAACTTCATGGAGAATAACATAAGATAATGAGGAGAAAGGACACTATTAGCTGAGTCCAGGCAAATGGATTTGAGTTTCATTGCTAAACTTTTTAATGGATCAGAGATGTAGGGCAAGTAAATATTGTTAAATGTACATATCTTCCCTTTCAAGAATACTTGTGATCTAGGTTTTAATTTTATCCAAAACAACTGTCCCATTAAGGTATAACCAAAGTGTGTCTGTACCAATTTATTCTTTAAAATGGAGCTACAGTAATCAATCAATGGCAATAATCTAAATCCCTAATTGTCCAAGTCCAAATTACAACAAGAAACATAATAATTTCACAATAGAAATAATAATTTGAGAGACAGATTTGTGAAGAAAATTAGTAACAAATAAATTATGTACTCATAAGCAGGAACTATTGAAGCAGAATTTTCAACTAACATGCATTAACCACTTAAGCTAATTTTTCAACTCGCTGCAAATTAAAATGAACTTAAAAAAAAAATTTAATTCAAGAAACTAATTTTTATACAATCACATGCTTTCAAAATTAGTTCAAGAACCTGGAATTCCCTTAGAGTTCTCTAATTTTAGATTCAAGATTTTTTTTTTTTTTTTTTAAGATTTTTTTTATACAATCACAACTAAGTTAAAGTATCCTAATTTTTGTAACAGAACATCAATTGTTTTAGAATAACAAATTAAAAAAAAAAAAAATTGTCTTCAACCCATTAGAGAACCCAATTTCACAATAAGCAATTGACATTGAAGATATTTTTCCCAACTCAGATTCAAGAAGTTTATAAAAAAAGAGAAAAATTCACAATCTAAAACAATATAATCACATGCTTTCAGAATTAATTCAAGAACCTAGAATTCCTTAAGGTTCACTAATTTTACATAATTTTGAATTGCTCAATCAAAACCTTGATTTTTTAGTGAAAATCCCCAAATCAAAACCCTAGTTTGAATCTACAAACCTGGTTGAAGGGTGGAAGTGTTCTTTGCGTGCATTCGTCTCTTCCGTCTCCTTTCGGCCATCTTCTCTCTCCGTCGTTACTTCTCTTTCTTTGTTCTTTTCTTCCAGATCAGAGCTCTACCTGTATGTATTTTTATTGTCCATCTTCTCCTCCTCACTCATTGTTATGCCGGTTGGGGGTTATGTAACGCCCTCAAAATAATACATAAAATCCATCACCTTAGACATGCATTGATACAAAGAAGTCAACCATTTCTATTCATCAGAGTATTTCTTACAACCGTATTACATGTTAACAACAAAAGCAAAATGCCCTACGGGCTTACAGCTTTCCAAGTTAACACTTGGTTACAACAAAAGAGTACTAACTCAGAGATTTTTCATTGTGGATTAGTGTTGTTACAGTTCTTAGAATTGAATCTATTGATGAGCTTGTTACTCTGTTCTCTCAATCTTTATTTTGTACAAATTGTTTTTGAATTTTGACTAATCTCTTTTGTGTCGTGAGTGAGGCAATATGGGACTGTCGTGGTATTGTAATAGATAACAGAGAGAGGCAAGAGGTGAAGTGGCAAGAGAGGCAAGTAACTGTGCATCGGAATCAGAGAACAATTTGTGGTTGCAATGATCATATTTCATTTGATAGACACCAGAGTAAATAATTTTACTCTGGTTAGTATCTTTGCTCTGTTTTTTCAATTTAGGACAGACACTAGAGATCCAAGAATTACTTTTTTATCAGTATTATACGATTAAATTTACTTTTAGCTTCAGAGTATACAGTTTACTTGTTTTATTCAGAGTAAAATTTTACTTTTATATACAGAGTAAAATTTTATTTTAGACTCTCAGGTACTCACCGTTTATTGTTTTCGAGTAAAATTTTACGTTTTATACAGAGTAAAATTTCTTTTAGTTTCAGATTTGGTAAATTTTATCTGAATAAGAGTAAGAATTTCTTAGTTCAGAGTGTACATTTACTCTTGATTCCAGAGTAAATATTTTACTTTTATACAGGTAAAATTTTATCTAAATATCCAATGTGAAAATGGCTTTAATAGAGGCTGTGATAGGATATGAGGTAATTACTGAGTAAACAGAAACCAGAGTTTTATAATATACAGGGGGTTGTTTTGAAACGTACTTATAAATTCTTGTCCTTTTGAAAGACCAAATTAGTATAAGGAGGCTTATCACCCAATCCCCGTTAATTTGAAAATGTGACTTAAATATATAGCTTATAATCACACTTATTGAATGTGGCATAAAACAGTAATATTTCATCACAGCCTTCAATTAGGGTTACAGTGTGATTAAATATCAATTCTAATTTTTTTTATCCCTTCCCAATAAAGTGAGTTCTTTTTTCGTTTTTCTTTTTTTTTTTTGGTCAAAGTTACTGATCTTTAACTATTTTGTAATAGTGGGTAATAGGAAACATCAGTGGTGATCTAGATATTGACGCCACATCATTATAAAATGGACCTGCTAAACAGGTCACTTCTTTATAATGTCATATTTCTTCCATAACTATAATCAAATTGGATCGGTTAACTTAGTCAGACCATTCTCGATAAACAAAACCATTTTGTTGTAAATCTTAATATACATATTTACTATACATTAATACTAATATCTCAATACTAAACAATCTCACAACTCCCTGCTGATCATAAACAACGATCACATATCTTCATAATCCACTAGTTACATCATCTTTAAACCAACACCTTTTTCCTTCTATTACCAACTATCAACCATTATCTCATAGCCACTAGCTCATCATATCTCATAATAACACCTCTTTTTGTCAAATCACACCAACTTTGATCATAACCATTATCACAATATCTCATTCAACGATATTTGTATCACTATTCAGTAACTATTACCCATGCATAAATCATATAACATCTCATAACAAACGCCTTTATGATATTAACCAATATCCACATTCTCAGTAACACTAGTCTATAGTATCTTCCTAATATAACCCTTTTGCTCATAATTACACCACTTTGATCAATAACAATTTCAGATCTCATACCACACACACATATGCCATAAGACGCGTACAGAACCACTTTTCGTACACACTTGCTGCTACCAAGAAATCTACAATATATTACTAGACACTTAGATCATCATCATCTCTCATACACCAACATCACAATTTATTATAACAACTAAGTCATTATCTCCACAACACACCACTTTGATCAGTAACCAACAATCTACAATCTCATAAGCACAATCACATCATCTCTAACCAAACACCCTTTGACTTATAACTGACACCACTTGCGCATCATAAGGCCAAAATCCCAGTATCCTAATTAATCCGAGCTAATCATTTATCTCATTAATCTTTTACCCACTCATATTCTAACAATCCATAACCTCTAATACCATTTTCTTCATAACCAACTACATCACTATATCTATCTATCACTATTCTATCACTATTATCTCAGGGTAAACCAAGCTGGAGCGCCACAGTGTAGGAGTGGTGAAATTTTTAGCGCCACGTGAGCTTGCGCGCACCCCAAGTCCAGTCGAGTCCTGTGTGGTACGCATACCAGGCCTGAGCCTTGCAAAGCCAACCCTAAGACCCTGAGCTTATCGTGTTCTGAGAGCCTCGTGCCCGACTCATGGTGTGTTATGAGTAGCTGGACACCATCTCGTGACGCTCCGATTCTCCAAATTTTTCTTCCCCTCGCCGAGCCCAACCCAATGTCATCCCTGCCGTCGCTGTTAGTGCAATAGCTTCAATAAATTTAAAAAAAAAAAAAATTATGAAACAGTCATATACTTTAATTCCATATAAAACCAATTTTACTTTTTTATACTTTTACATAAAATTCACCTCCCTTCAAGTCCCTTACATAAATATCACCCTCTTCATTTATTTCTCACAAACACACAAGTTGTCTCTCAACTCTCATTATCCTCTGAACTTCAACTTCCTCAATTAATTTTTAACAGTGTACATCCATACATGTGACGTTGCATTCATCACCTATCTCTATTTGTTATTTTTTAGACCATAGTATCTTCATTAAATATCATACTAAGTAGTAATATACAAAACCGACTTACTTTTAAAATTATCTAATATAACTACTTAATAGAACTACATATATAATGTTACTATATTTTATAAAATATGTTGCAAAAAAATTCTATTCTTATAGCGTGATTTTTTTTTCTACTAAATACATTTCCTCTAATTTTTTTCCCCAATTCCTTCTTAATTGTTTTTCGCTTACTCTATTTATTCTTTCCTTCGATTTGTCCTAGTTGTGCCTGAACTCTCTCTTTTACTCGACTTTCTATGTCACTCTGATTATGTATGACGAACCTTTGTTGATAGTTCTCACCTGGATTCGTCTTCGTCTCTCTACTCCCTCCTTGTGTTCTCTTTAATAATCTGACTCAGTCACCTCCTCTATTTTGCTATTTCATACTATTCTTCTGGTGATACTTCTTTATCAAAAATGCATCTATCTCTGAAACCTGCTCTTTCACTTAATATGTTATACATACAACCAAACTTTTGCCGTAGTATGATTTGATATGTTTTTGTATCATCAATTTTGTACATGTGGTTCATAAGAACTTTGCTGTGAACAATGAATTCTTATGCAATTTTGTTGTATTGTTCTGTATTCCAGTTCTCTTCATCCTCAGCATCTCTCTTATTCTTTACTGTCTTGTAGATATCTCCAATGTTCCTCATTGCCGATCGCCTGTTGACGTCATTTTCAACAAGCAATAGGACGATTTCGTCTCTCTTCTCATATTCGGTTATTCGCTCTCGCTCTTATTACTAATCTTCTTCTACTCTTCATTTTCTGTTCCATGGCTTCAAGTCAGTTGATGGAATTATTTAATGCTTGGTCATTGCCATTTGTTATCCAAACTTTTACCAAATTACCAAACCAACCCCAACATCTCAAAATACTAAAATTTAAAGACAAAATCCATAGAGAGGAGTAGGATATCCCTACCTCGAAGTTTGAGCCAAAAAGGAGATGAAGACTCGGAGATCAACGTGCTCCAAATCCAAACTTTTTCAGATTAGAACAAAGCTCTCAACGCCCTCTATCTTTTTAACAAAGGCCCTAGGCTAGATTCACACTCTAGGGAGATCAATTCTTAGAGAGAGTGTAAGTTTAGAGAGAGAGGGTCTCGAATCTAGGGTTTGATCAAAAAAGAAAGTGAAAAAGTGAAGTTCAAAATCGCTACTGTCCGCTGATATAAAACACGCTCGCTCGAGCGAAGCCTTTGTCGCTCGAGCGACCAGACACAGAAAACTCTCGCTCGAGCCAATAAGTTCTCGCTCGAGCCAAAAAATCAAAAGTGCGCTCGAGCTAAGGAATGCTCGCTCGAGCCAACAACTCAAACCCTCATTTCTGTAACCAGAAGCACGCTCGAGCGACAGACCTCTCGCTCGAGCAAAGAACAAACCAGACCGCTCGAGCCAAGAAAAGCTCGCTCGAGCCAAGAAACACAACTCTCAGGTCCAGAACCAGACGCCATCACTCGCTCGAGCGAAGCCACTCTGGCTCGACCCACCAGACACAAACTCCACTCTCGCTCGAGCGACCAGCTCCTTGCTCGAGCGAAGGTCCAAAAATCTGGGCAGCAACACTAGGCTCCCAAACACAACCAACCTGAAACAAACCTACCCAACACATCCTCTAACTCAATATACAAAGTAAAGAGGATGCAAACTAGATAATAAACAACTACCCTCAACCACGGACACATGTCCGGATCACTGTACAACAAGGGTAAACCCGGGATCGCTATAAAACCAAATATGACCACCAATAAGATTGAAAGTTTTTTTTTTTAATCCAAAGAGAAGTCTGAAAGTTTAGGGATGAGCGAGAAAAAGGAAGGGAGTGGAGGAGGGCGCGAAGGTAATTAGGGATTAAGTTTTTGCGACGAGTTTAAGGACCATCATTAATGAGCAAAATAAAATCTTTTGCGACGGATTAACAATTTTATTCAAAAAAAAAAAAAAAAAAAAAAACAAAAAGGCATGTAATGTACCGTCGCGTATAATATTAGTTCTTGTCACGGCCTTGGATTTTCTGTCTGTAATAATGG